TCCTCCTCCTTGGAGATCACCTTGGGCTTGCCGTCCTCCCTCTTCCTCTTGTTAACAGCAACAGCAGATGGAGCAGGAGTGCCCTTAATAGGTCTCATTGGGTTCAATGGTTTTGTGACTACCCGACCTGGAGCTGGACCTCCTTTAATAGCGGGAACAGCCGTTTCTGCAGCAGGAGCTTTTGTTTGTGAAGTTGAGGATTGACCAACGTCTGTTTTGGAAGTTTGCACAGACTTGGACGCCTCTTCTTGAGTAACCCACTTGCCTGCTCATTTACAAACATAAACATCAATATATATATGAAAAGAGAAAACCCAGATTGGACAGATACAAGGCAGAACATTACAAACGAAATTACCTAAACTATCAGAATAATAGAAGCCAGAGTTTGAATCGTAGTAAAGTCCAGTAGATTTGTCGTGATAATATCCTGATGCCGAGTCAAAAACCCATCCTGCAGAAACAAGATTTGAAGAAATGTCACCAAACAGAGAGAACATTCAGATAAAATGATTTGCTCTAGTTAACATATGATCAGGTTTATGCAAAGAATGCTTCATAATTCATAGGATTCAGGAGAATAATCTAAAAGTCAAGAAATTAATTGCACATAGTCATTAATACCCACTAACCTAGCTTCGAGCCAACATATCAAGATTGGCAGATAACCAGAATTGATAAACAAGCCAGGTCAGATCTGAACAATTTATTTTAAGTGAAGAAACTTTTAAAGAAAGCTAAAATCTTTCACTTATTTCAAATATTGTTATAAACATTGCCCAACAACAAACTAATGGGGCTGACAGAAGAATTTTATGTCTTCTTTTCTAGTATAAGAAGATTTAGCTTGGAACAAGAACAGAAAGCAGCGAAGCAAGTACGTAGTTACAGACCAGCAGAAAGTAATGTCAGGATTTGAATGGGTGATTCAATTCCGTAAGTTATTATAGATCAAATAAGCCAGGCCTTAAAAACTGATACAGGCCAGCTAATTATCAGGATTTTTTGGTTCACCAATGCAAGTCTGGGTGTGTGGACTCGATAGGAAGAAGTCCAAAATATACAAGGGCGGAGCCAGGAATACTAGAAGAGGGGTGCTTGGTGCATGCATTTTAATTGAATAGGTGCTGAAGCGTTTAAGTTTGGCCTTCCTAACTGCTTTTGATCATTGCTTGAGGTATACGGCCAGGGGGCACCCGCCGTTCCTCCGCCCCTGAAAATATATTAGTTAAGAGCTAGTGACAGTGGTGGGAAAAAAACTGGAACATAAGAGTAATATAGCAAGCTAATGAGAACTCAAGTTAAGAGAATAAGGGAGATGATCCTCGATGTGGGTGCATTCTGAATACAAAATTACAGGTCAAGGATGAGCACAGACACAGCAAAGTACAAACCATGCAACATGATAGGGTACTAGAGATTAGAGAATGCACTGAATTGTTGATATATAAAACAGTAAAGCCATACACAACCATCTCCAGGTGCTGCAGAAGTGTCTCCGTCAACATTTCTCTGGTTATTCTCTAAATCTTTTTGATAGCTCTTTTTAGCTTTCTGCAGCAGGAAACAAGTTGAACAAGAATCAGGCATGCTTCCATAGCTCATGAACCAATTGCTAAAGCACAACAAACAGGCACAAGACATCAATATGAAGCCAAAAAAGACATCAATACAATAGCGTCTGTATATAAAGCATTCAAGTTTATGTGAGACAACTATATGCATACCACCAATGGATATTGAATAACACCATGGTAATAATAGGAAAAAATGCGAATATGAGAACTTACTGCTTCTATCTGCTGTAGGGCTCGGGCAGCTTGCTGCTGTTCCTTTTCCTTTGCCTCATTCTCCTTTTGCATTGTCGACAGTCTTTTGGTGACATTGTCCTTGTGGCGCTTACCAAGTTCATGTGTCCTGATGCTGAAGGAATTGTTTGCTATATAAATCTTACAGAAGTCGCACCATTTGTTTCCTTGGCTCACCCAATACTGAAACAAGGGAGGCAAAGGAGAACTTATTATTCCCCAAGTGAACTTGCACAAATGGATTTTTCCTACAACATAGTTTAACAACATAACAGACAGCAAATGACTGAAAACAACATTTGGAATGGCATAAGCACCCTATTATTCTTTTGCGAGAGATAAGCATATTATCATTTACTCGGAATGAGACTACTTAGTGTGGGCACAACACATTTGCACTTTTCTGGCCTTGCATCTACATTCCTTTTTCCTTTAAAAAAAAAATGAACAAGTAATTCAGAAGTAGGTAGCATTCACGGCAACAACTGAAATCTAATCGATAATTCCACCATAACCACCAGAGCCCAGATGCGTGACCACCACAGAACCCCGTCAGAGGGCCGAAATCTCTGCTCTTCTGCCTCGCAAAGCCACACCTTGTACTCTACCCAGACACTGGATACTGCCAAGCATCCACAAGTACAAGCACAAGCACTCCCAGCTACCTAACCCTAATCCCTAGACACCCACGAGAAAGAAGGCAAGGCCGCGCGAGGTACAGGGTACTACCACCCAGGCCACGCAAAAACGTTCTTCCCTGTGGCGAGAAGATCGCTAACGAGCCCAAACGACACCGCGATTCCGCTCGAACCGGATCTCACGACCGCGGCCTCAAATTTCCAAGGAAGTGGGGAAGGGAGAGTACCTCCGTCATGGCGGCGGGCAGGGGATCCGCGAGAAGGGGACACGGGGCTTCGTCCTTGCGGCGGGAGATCGCCGGCGCAGCCGAGGAGGGTGGTGCGGATTTGCCGCGGCTGGAGGGGGCGGCCGGAGGCGGCAGGCGCGTTCGCCCCCAAGAGAGGTTTCTGCCGAGTGCGAAGTAGTACGAACACAAAGGCCCGGGGCAAGGCTGGCCGCACGGGATGGAGGTGGCTTCGTCCTTAGGAATTTGGCTTCTCACAGTCCAGCCAAAGCTAACCAACTGAAATCAGATGTTTAATGGTGTTCTAATCGTTAAGAATAGAAAATTGATGGAAAATACCTTTCAACAACATTTTTAATTGGTTATCCAAATAGTCATTCCCTATTTCAGACTTCTAACTAGCCAAAGATGAAGAGCTAACTCTCTAGAGTGTATGCAAGATATAGAAAAGTTATTGAGAGCGTAAAAAGATATACAAAGCTATTTTTATTTAAATGACTTTTTGAATAATAATTTAGAGAGTGAGTTTTAAAAAAAACTCTTAGAAATGCTCTTAATTGCTTCTCCAAATCTACATCGTATATCCTGCAAGAGTGGTTACAGGCTGAGTGAATGCATCACTAGTAATACTATTTAGTTGACTGCATGGGTAGATGTACGACCTGTTCGCTTGTTCATATACGATCGTAGATTATAAGCTGGAATAGTATTTTTTTCTCGTACCAAACCAGCCAGCAGTAAATAATCCACGATCGTTTACGACGAAACGAACAGGAGGCTGACAGTAGTTCCATGTAAAGACGTTTGATTGCATGTATGGGTGGATACGAAACTCGCCAGAGGATGACGTGCATGTGGGTCAGCATAGGATGAAGTGCATCATGACCAGAAAAAACTTATTTCGAGCGTGTTCACTAGGCCTGGGTAAAAATGTATTTTTGCATCCGCTCATGCAGGCTAAATCTACACAGCAGGAAAACAACACACACTTCTTTCTCAGATTAAGTATCATGCCTGGCTAGATATTAGATTCCTAAAAATTGTATCTGGCTAGACAGTAACTACTAGAAAAATGATTTTAAGAGAAATGGTCAAATCATTTTCGGACGAGCACACCTAGCGACCGGTCTCCGTAAATGCTTAGGGGCGCTCTAGGAAAACACTTGCCTCTGAAAATCATTTAAGGAGGCGGATGTCCTAACATGACCGTCTTCCAAAATCATCGATTAACGAAGACGGTCGTCTTAGGATGTCTGTCTCCATAAATCGATTTTCGAAGGCGTGCATCTTAAGACAACCGTCTACGTTAATCAATGATTTTTGGAGGTGTTTTTCCTAAGCGTCTGTCTTCTAAAATCGATTTATAAATAGTTGCATAAAAAATAATTCATATTTTTCATATGAACTTGGATGAAGACATTCCTTGTATCAAAATTGTAGTTCTCGACGCTACAACTTTGTAGTTGAAAAGTTTTGAATTGAAACTGTTTATGGCCCAAAAATATTGTTGTAAGTTCATATATTTTGAAATTGAAATTTAAAAGTATTAAACAATCTTGGATGTTGACATGATTTATACAAAAGTTAAAGTTCTTGATACAATCTATAGCTTTGTAGTTGAAAAGATTTTTCTATTTGAAATCGTTTAGTGTCCCAAATATATGTTCTAAGTTTACAGATTTTGAAATTTAAAATTTAGAATTTCTAAATGATATCGAATGTTCACATAGATAATACCAAAATTGTAGTGACCGGCCTGATCTACATGTTTATTGTTGACAAGTTTGGGAGTCATATAGAGTCCCAAATATTTGTTTTAAATTCACATGTCTTGATATTCAACTTTTTGAAGTTTTCAAGCAATCTCAGATGGTGATACATTTTATGCCAAAGTTGTATTACTTGACAAGATTTAAAACTTTATAGTTAAAAGTTTTTTCATTTGAGTTTATTTAGTAGCTAAAATATCCAATATAAGATTTTGAACTATTGATAATTTGGATTAGGATTCCTAACTATATCTATAAAAGAGCTATTCTAACTCGTATATGAGCATGAGTTATATATATAAATTCGTACGGAAGAAACCCTCAATTGTCTAGTGGTTAGGAAGACGGGCAAAAAAGAAATTGATGGACTAAAAATAAGTTGAAATTTTATATCTTTATTATCGGGTATAATATAAATAATAACATTATTCTTTAGCTACACAGAAAATACAAATAAATTATACGACAGGGGCATCGCGGCTCGCGCGCGCGCGCACCGGCAGCCGGCAGGACGTAGTATATAGTAGGTAGTACTTGTACTTCATACGTGTACTTTGTTGTCTACGCAAGCTGCTCGGCCGTCTGACAGCGGTGCCACTCCTCGTCGGACTCAAGAAACGACGCCAGGGCCCTCACGTCGTCCATCCAGTCGCCGCCGACGCCGTCGCCGGAGAAGCACGGGTCGTCCTGCAGGCTTCCCACGAGGGGCGATACCGACGCCGCCGAGCTGCAGTCGTCCGACGATCCTGCTTCTGCTCCTCCCCCTCCACGACCGGCCATTGGCGTCGGCGTCGTCTCGCCCGCGTGCGGCGTGTCCCGGTGGAAGAAGAGTCCGCCCGTGCACCGCACAGCCTTGGGCGCCCACACCGCCGCCGCCGTCGTTCCGGCTGCCGCCGGGGTGGCGTGCGAGACGGTGTCGGGCGCGACGACGACCCTGCTGCTGCCGACGGCGCCGGTGCCGGCCCTCTGGCCCAGCGTGCCGTTCCAGTAGTTCTTGATTTCATTGTCTGTTCGACCCGGCAGACTGCCTGCAATCAGCGACCACCTGCGTGCCAACACGTAAAGAAAGGAGCGAAACCATGCATCAGGAGCTTCCGTTCTGAGCTCATCAGAGAGAGAAACAAAATGCGGGAAACCACTCGCACGGCCGGCCGACCTGTTGCCGAGGAGCTTGTGGAGGCGGATGATGAGATCCTCCTCGTCGTAGGAGATGTTGCCGCGCTTGATGTTGGGCTGGAGGTAGTTCAGCCACCGCAGCCGGCAGCTCTTGCCGCACCGACGCAAACCTGCACGCACTTCCCTCCATCAGCCGATCTTGTCTTGGTATATACTATATGATTCCAACAAAAATGAAAATTCTGTTATATAGTTCAAGCTTGCTTTACCGGCTTTCTGGGGCAACTCCCTCCATTTGCCTTCGCCATGGGCCTTGACGTAGGCGGCCAAGATATCGTCCTCCTTGGCCGTCCACGCCCCTCTCTTCATCCCCTCCTTCGCGCAGCACGCTCTCCTGCCCATCTCTCTTTCTGTCTCTCTCTCGGTACGGTGTGCAGCAGGCAACAGCAGGGTCTCTCGACTCTCGTCGATCAAGAGCTCCGTCGGCGTATATAAATGCACGCGGATCCACGTGCATGGCCGGCCGTCTGATCGGTCACTCTGTAGCAGAGTAAGGGGTGTGTTTGGTTCGCCTAGTAGCTACTAAATTTAGTAGCTTTTAATCACTTTAGTAACTTTTTTGTCTAACACTATGACTAAATGTGACTAAAAGGGCTTTAGTCCTCTCTAGTAAGGGGGTGTTTGATTCGAACTACTAAACTTTAGTAGTTACTAAACGGTTTAGTCACTTTTAGTAACTCCAGAGTTACTAGAGAGAACTAAAGCCCTTTTAATAGCTTTTAGTTATAGCGTTTGGTTAAAAAGTTACTAAAGTGACTAAAAGCTACTAAATTTAGTAGCTACTAGCCGAACCAAACAGGCCCTAGCACTGGCACTACTCACTTCTCAACATCGCTAATGCATGCTTGCATAAACAGGGACGAAGCCAGAAAAAAATTTAGGAGGTGCTGAATAAAAAAATAGAGGTTTTTTTTATCTTCTCTTAATCTTAACCCCTCCTACCTAATACATATATACATACAATTTTAAGGGAAAACTTAGGGGGCTCCACATGCCCAGAATCGATAGGGGGCTAGAGGCCCTAGCCCCACCGCTGGCTCCGTCGCTCCATCTAAGACTTAGGGCACGTACATTTGGTTGGAGACTAGAGTAGCCAAGCCAAACTTCGTCTATTTAACACTAGAAGAAGTGAGGTATTATTAGGCTTAAATGCTTATTTGGCATGTCCAGAAACATGACATTCACGAGCACAATACGCGTCCTTATTGGTCTCCGCGCTGCTGAACCACCCACTGATCTCCCTATGACTGAAATCGTCCTTGCCCAACTGCCCCAATTTTTTTATAATTTAGCCCTTTTTTAAGAAAATTTACGTTCGGTCTCCGAGAAACTTAAACTTATATTTAGACCCGGGGGTCGACACCAGGACTTGTGGCGCCGAGGTAACACATCTCGGCGCCACGGATCTTAGCTCCGAGTTACCTGACCGTGCACAGCAGAGCATCCTAGGTGGCGTTGACGTGGCCGGTACCTCGACGCTAGATTACATGGCTCCGAGCTCGACGCCATAGATCTTGGCGCCGACATCGAAGCCGTCAGATGATATGCTGCGACAGAGATGATGAGACGTGCCTCTGACACGGACGACAGGTGCCTGCCGGTCTGCCACCGTGTGCGCGCTCGGTGCATGCTGCTTTTACCATGGAGAGCTGTAGCGTCAAATCATGTAGCCGTGTTGGGCTGCCACCTGCTGAGTCCGCGCATGGGAAGAGATGTGAGGGAGCGGCGTGGGCCCCAGCTATCCACGTTGAGAGGCAGGACGCATGACAGGTGCATGCGGACCCGTGGTGCAGACGGGTGCAGGTGCGTGCTGTGCTATGGTCCTGCATCACATCACCTCGCTCTATGTACCCGTACCTGTTTATGGATATTCATTCCGCATCAAGCCCCTACTCATGTACGTATATGTATATTCATTTATTTAGTAAGAGCAGGTTACATTTTATTGAACCATATTTTACTACTTCAGTTTAGATGTAAGTTCTGTATTTAACTAGTGTAAATTTTTGATATTTTTGAATTTGTTCCAATTTGCTTGTTATAGAACTAATCTGGTTTTTTTTCTATTTTTTAATTTGTATGTTTTATTTGATATTTTTGAATTTCTTACAATTTGCCATTCATAGAACTAATATGTTAAATTTTTATGTTTTATTTGTTTTCTATCTGGATTTCTTTCAATTTGCATTCCATAGAATTAAATCTGATATGTGATAATTTGTAGTTATATGTTCTCTTTAATTTGGTTCGTTAGATGCTGAGTGTGTGGCTATGGAAATCTAGTGTGACTTGGTCTTAACACTCGAATTTTACATGGTTCTTGGAATAGAGTGTTTTAGAGGACTGTGTCACTAGGGTGTCAGAAGAGTCTAAAATACTCGAGTTGAGAGTAGACTGACCCCTCGAATAAAACTACAGCGTGGTCTTTTTTTAAAGCTCAACCAAACGTCAAATCAAATCATTTCAGATAATTAAATTAAAGTACGGTTGTTTGTTTTCTGGAGCTCGTGTGTGTCACGAAATAAGTTGCTTGAGATTGACGCGGTGCATCAATCATCTTATCTTATCTAAAGAGAAGAACAAAGACCCAATTAATGATTGCCCGGGCCTAGATGTGGCCTGCGCATATGGCATGTTTGGTAGACGGCCTTGCCTATTCATTCATCCGACTAGATGTTGCTGAGGTAATTCTATGGAATGCAAATTAATTATCACATATCATATTTAATTCTATGGAATGCAAATTGAAAGAAATCCAGATAGAAAACAAATAAAACATACAAATTTAACATATTAGTTCTATGAATGGCAAATTGGAAGAAATTTAAAAATATCAAATAAAACATACAAATTAAAAAAATTATAGAAAAAAAACCAGATTAGTTCTATAACAAGCAAATTGGAACAAATTCAAAAATATCAAAAATTTAAATCAGTTAAATACAGAACTTACACATAAACTGAAGCAGTAAAATATGGTTCAATGAAACGTAACATGCTCTTACTAAAGAAATGAATATACATATACGTACATGAGTAGGGGCTAGATGGGGAATGAATATCCATGAACAGGTACTAGTATATAGAGTGAGGTGATGTGATGGCGGGACCACAGCACAGCATGCACACCCGTCTGCACGATGGGTCCGCATGCACCTGTCATGCGTCCTGCCTCTCAACGCAGACAGCTGGGGCCCACGCCGCTCCCTCACATCTCCTCCCATGCGCGGACTCAGCAGGTGGCAGCCCAACGCGGCTAGATGATTTGACGCTACCGCTCTCCACGGCAAAAAGCAGCATGCACCGAGCGCGCGCACGGTGGCAGACTGACAGGCACTTGCCGTCCGTGTCAAAGGAGAGGAGAGGAGAGCAGTGTGTGGTGTGTGGACCTGCTGCCGCTTGCACGTCTCATCACCTCTATCGTAGCACATCATCTTAAGGCTCCGAGCTCGGAGCCATGTATTCTGGCGCTGAGGTACCGGCCACGTCAACGCCACCTAGGATGCTCTGCTGTGTACGGCCAGGCAACTCAGAGCTAAGATCTGTGGTGCTGAGACGTGTTACCTCGGCGCCATGAGTCCTGACGTCGACCCCCAGGGTCCAAAGATGAGTTTAAGTCTTTCAGGGGAGCAAATATAAATTTCCTTAAAAAAAAAGGATCAAATTATAAAAAATTGGGGTCAACTGCCACTTAACAAGAACCATTACTCTCACCAAGAACCCCAACCGCCACCTAACAAAATTTAGCCACCAGTACCACTACTCTCCTAACTGAAATCGTCCTTGCCCAACTCAAAACTACTGTGCACGTACACGTCCAAACCATCACCAAATGGCGCAGCACACGATGACGTCCTATATATGAAACCCGCAACCCTCCAATGAGGCGGCGTGGATTCTCTAACGTGAGGAACAAAAGTCATGGGTGACTTTCCCCCTTCCCGATGCCGTCCATTTAGAATCCAACGGCTCTGGTGACCCTTCAGCTTTCACAGTGCCATGCCTGCCTAGCACAGACATAAAATGGTAGCCCAGTTCAGCAGTTTGCGGACAGAGGAGGGAGAACACTTGTTTCATCGTATGAACGTGGTTTAGGTGAGGAAAATGTGATTTTTCTATTTTTATATTCTCTTACAAAATTCGTTTCTTTTGCAAAAAAAAAATCCAAACAAAAAATAGCAAAACTATAATATTGCTGCCGATTGAACCAACCAGAAGCACTTACTGTGGTTAGGAATTTAGGCATTTTTATGTTTAATTTAATCCATAAAAGTAGCAGTAAATTCGTGACAACAAATGTGCACGTGTGAACTACTAGTGCCAAGTATGATGAACATACTGATCATGTTTAAGACTACAAAAACCTTATAGAACATAGAGACAATAAGATTATAAGTATACCCAGCAGAGGGATCGGCTCCACGCATACTAGTCGACATAGTGCATTGCTCGATGTCGCGGACCACAATCGATGTAGGACGATGTTCGCAGTGCAGTCCCTCGAGATGGCTTTAAACAAAAATGATGTGAACTGTATTTGTACCTAAACGCAAAATTTTGGTATGGATTTTCAGCCTGTTCGGGAGGCCGTATCGTATCGTTGATTATTTACTGCTGGCTGGTTTGGTGTGAGAGAAAAACACTGTTCCAAGCTGGAAATTTACGATCGTTTACGAGCAAGCGAACAGGCTGTTTGTTTTGCAAAAAATGAATTTAAAAAAAATATGAAAATCATAAAAAAAAATCCGTCATTGGTCTACAGTCTCACTTCATTTGATTGGTGGATATTATTTATTAGCATGGAACTATTAAAAATGTTTACGTGAAATTGTTGTTCAGTTCTGCACTAAAATAAATGGTATGTACACTTTAGTCTCTCTGTTACCTCTCTTTATTATTGTCTCTGTCTGCGAACAGGCCCTGGGTCTTATTGGGCTGCTAGAGAAAGCTGAAGGGTCACCAGAGCCGCTGGATTCTAAATGGTTGGCATCGGGAGGGGGAAAGTCACCCGTGACTTTTGTTCCTCGCGTTAGAGAATCCACGCCCCCAGTGAGGATGTCGCTGCGCAGCCACGCACGGTCACGGTCACGGTCACTCGCTCACTGTTTGTCACCATCACACCCATGCTTGCTCCAACACCACCATGAACCCATGCAGGTATGTCGATTCTTAACGTCTAATTTTTCGAAAACACTTAACGTCTAATTTTACAACTTTATTATCATAATTTGAGTTTGATTTTATTATTCTTGTTAATAGTCTATATTTACATATGATTTTTATGTTTACCATTATGTGATTTCGATCTAAATCTTACATAAAGATCTCCAATTCAACTTAGAATCTGCAATTTCGATAACCGCTCGTTATGTGACCGCGCCTCCACCTCAGACATCACGCCGTGGCACTGCCAGATGCCGTCTCGCCCACGCAGACCTAGACGCTGCTGTACAATCTGGGCCGTTGCATGCTGTTTCCCAGATGGCATAACAGTATCGTTACAGGAAAAAAAAAAGATTTCGATCAGCCCTCCAAAATAAGTTGATGTCGTATTCCTAAAAGAATCTACAATGGCTAATGTACTGAACATGTAATCAGGTTACGTGTACAAAACTTCGAACCGGACACCACTCTTCAAGAGATCAATCGAAGTTCTCAATCTTGATTGGAGTTATATCATCTGCCACCTCAAATTTCCCAACTAGTCTCGCAAAGAACACCATCATTTGCTCCAAGGTGAACTTGATGTTCTCTGCCTGTTCAAAATCAAGAAAGAAGTTACAAAATCCGTGCAGGTTGACAGTGTCGAAGGTGCTGAGAGTCTCAAACATAGGTATACAGTGAGGTAACAACCTTGCGGAACCCATGCTGCCCTCCTTCATATTCCACCAAAGCAACAGGCAAACCTTTCTCTTTCAAGGCATTGTATATTTTGCGTGCCTGATCTGGTGGCACAACCTGGAAAACATTGAAGCAGATGACAAATTATGCTATAGAAACACCGATATACCAGCGAGTAATGCAGCTATGATAAATATTACAGTTCATGGTCAGCAAATACCTTATCCTCTAACCCTTGAAACAAAATGACTGGACACGTAAACTGGTTGACAAAGTTGATTGGTGATCTCTCATAGTAAGCTCTTTCATTTCCTAAAGGAACACGAACGGGATGAATAATTAGATGTAAATCAGAGCAGGAAACTGAGTTAACATCTTCAAAAAGAAATGATAATACCGTCTCTTACCTACAAGATTGTCAATATAATGGGACTCAAATTTGTGTGTCTCTGTTCTCAACAGAGTCAAGTCCCCAACCTAATCATTGATTGATAATACCACAATACAGTTAGTTACTATGGTTGTTTACATAAAAAGAAGGCCAAAATTACATAGCTATAGCAATCAAGCAAATGCTAGCACACCAAGCCAACAGCATATTTTGACCATTCTACTAATGCAAATTACCAAGCACAAACATGCAGTATTGCTTTAGCACCATCATAAAGTATGCCAGGATTGTTAAATGATTAGTTCCATCGATAAAGCAATATCAATATAAGAGTGTGCATAGGACTATAGGACCAAAAACATGTTAATGAAAATTGTAACCCTGACTACATTCAAAAAAAAAAAATTGTAACTCTGACACGGGCACATAAGTGCAGAAAACAAGGTATCTGACACTTGGACAAAAGGATTAAGGGGGTATATGGTAAATTGCTCAGCAAGAATAGAATAAATACAAGTGCTCAGCAAGAATAGAATAAATACAAATATCTGGCATATATTTATGGAAAACACAATAGTAGATTCTAGAAATCTAAAACTTACACCATACAGAGAAGCTCCAGCCTTGAACGTGTCTCTGAATGCAAGTGCAGCTAAAGTAGCGTATCCACCTGCTGATCTACCAGTAATACAAAGGCGCTGCCCATCTACTTTGCCACTCTCCACCTTAATACGAAAGAATCAAACATTAAGGTGAATTCTTATCACCTCCAAAGTTAAAATGCCAATTCAATATTAGAATTATTGCTCAAAGGATGTACCAAGAATCTCGCACAGCTGCAGCAATCATCAACATCGACAATACCCCATTTGTCCAATAGTCTCTCCCGATACTCTCTTCCATAGCCTTCAGTTTATAAGTCGATGAAGTTCAACATTATTGAATGTCCTGTGTTAGAATAGGCGCCTATGGGCTGGTCATGGGCCTAGCGCCCAAGCCTATCGGCTGGGCTGCCTCTAGGGATTATGGTAGATGATTATTGATTAGGCAAGGATCACCGTTGATTGGGTGTTTCTATAAACTCTTCCTGATCCTTGCCTATATAATGTACTCCATGTACCCATATCAATCTATCACAATTTCCCGAGACCTATTCGCTCTCATGGTATCAGCCGCCTAGGTTTAGGTCTTCCCTTCCGCTGCCCACCCCTGCGCGCCGGCCTCTGACCTCTACCGTGCAGCGCCATGTCTCCCACTCCTCCGCCCTCTCCTAGGTCTGGGGATGTTACCGCTGACGAGATCGTGGCACACCAGGCCAAGGAGAAGGCGAACGACGCCACCGCCGCCCAACTTCTCGACAAGGAGCCAGGCCGCCCTGGCTTGCGCTGCCCAAGCCGAGGAGGCTGCAGCCGCCGTCAAAGATCGCGACGCGGCTGATTGCACTCACTACTTGTGGACTTTTCCTTTGCGACTCAAATCTGACACTTACAGTACGCTTGCCCACTTCATCGCCCACGCCTCCACCCAATTTGGCGCCCACGTCAAGGCTGTCCAGTGCGACAACGGCAAAGAGTTTGACAACTCTAGCACCCGTCACTTCTTCCTCACCCAGGCCATCCATCTTCGTATGTCCTGCCCCTACACCTCGCCTCAAAATGGTAAAGCCGAACGCATTATTCGCTCCATCAATAATGTCGTTCGATCACTGCTCTTTCATGCGTCTATGCCTCCCTCCTACTAGGCGGAGGCCCTCTCCTCCACAATGACCATTCGCTTAACATATCGCCACCAAGACTCTACAGCTTCTCCACCCCCCTGCTTGCCTCAGACGCACGCCACGGCCAGATGATCACCTACGAGTCTTTGGCTGCAAGTGTTATCCAAACCTGTCCGCCACCACTCCTCTTAAACTCGCTCCTAGGTCTGCCTTGTGCGTCTTCCTAGGCTATTCCGCTCACCACAAAGGATACCGCTGCCTTGACCTCTCCACCAATAGAGTCATCATCTCCCGGCACGTCATCTTCGATGAAACGGCCTTCCCCTTTGCTGAGCGCAATGGTCCTAGTATTCCGGCGGACTTTGATTTTCTTGATGCTACTGATGTTGTGCCCGCTCCTATTGGATCAATGCACAAGTTTTTGTCTGCAGAACACCATCCAAGACCTCTCGACGTCACCAAAGACTTCGCCGGTCCCTCCGAGATCATGCAGGGGTGCCCCAGCGCCGGTGGTGGCTGCATGAGATCCCCAACAGACATCGCTGATCCCCGGCGCCAAGCGCTCTACATCCCGCCTACGCTGCGGACGCCAGGGACCATTCTCAGCGCCACCTTGCCAGCAAGACAGACGCGCCAAAGACGACCGGGGCGCCCACCTCGCTAAGTCAGACATCCCGCCAACGCCACATGAGCTCACGATCTCCAAAGACCGACCATGGGCTCCACAAAGCGCCAGGTGTCACCTCCTCGAGCACCCCGCGGCCCCTCGCCCGTGTTCCGCCTCTTCGCATCACCCGCTTACCTACCACTACCCGCTTGCCTCGACTCGACCGCCTAACTACTCCTCACATCGCCGCCAGTCAAGCTGCGCACTGCCACCACGCCGCCCCCATCGCCCAAAGGGGTCATGTTGTCGTCCTCTCCCAGTGACCAACCAAAGACGCCATGGGCACACATTCGAAGAGCGGTTTTCAAATGCCTGTTGCGTACCACGCTACGTCTATGTCACCGATACCGAAGACCTTCCGTAGCGCTCTTGCCGACCCCATGTGGCGAGCTGCAATGGAAGAGGAACACAGTGCCCTGCTAAAGAATCACACTTGGGATCTCGTGCCTCGACCCCCTCGGGCCAACGTCGTCACCGGCAAGTGGATCTTCAAGCACAAGTTTTAGTCTGATGGCTCCCTCGAAAGGCACAAGGCACGCTGGGTTCTCCGCGGCTTTACCCAGCGGCCTGGTGTGGACTTTGATGAGACATTCAGTCCCGTGGTGAAACCTGCTACGCACGGTGCTCTCCCTGGCTCTCTCGCCGCTGGCCCATCCACCAGCTTGATGTGAAGAACGCCTTTCTTCATGGCAACCTGACAGAGAGTTTATTGTCAGCAGCCGTCTGGGTTCGAAGATCCAGCTCACCCATACTTTGTTTGTCACCTGAAGAAGTCACTATATGGCCTCAAGCAGGCCCCTCGTGCTTGGTACAGTCGCATGGCCACACACTTGTTGTCCCTTGGGTTTGCTGAAGCCAAGTCAGACACCTCACTCTTCGTTTACCAGCGCGGATCAGACACAGCCTACCTGTTGCTCTATGTTGATGACATCGTCCTCACAGCCTCCTCCACCGGCCTTCTTCGGCAGATCATCTCAGCCCTTCAGCGGGAGTTCGCTACGAAGGACCTTGGTGAACTGCATTACTTCCTCGGTATGCATGTTCAGCGCAGTGGTGATGGCCTTCTTCTTTCTCAGCGACAATATATGCTGGACATTCTTGATCGTGTCGGGATGGCAGAGTGTAAGCCATGTTCCACTCCAGTTGACACCAATCCGAAGATTACTGCAGCAGATGGCACCCCTGTCTCTGACCCTTCAGACTTTCGCAGCCTCGCTGGAGCCTTACAGTACCTAACGTTCACCCGGCCGGATATTGCATATGCTGTGCAGCAAGTATGTCTTCATATGCACGACCCTCGTGAGCCTCACCTTGCCGCTCTGAAGCGGATTCTGCGCTATGTTCGAGGCACTCTCCACCTTGGTCTCCTCGCCACGACCGCCTACTTCTACTTGGTGATCTTGTCGTCTACACCGACGCCGATTGGTGGTGGGTTGTCCGTACACCCGCAAGTCCACCTCGGGCTATGCTGTGTTTCTTGGCGACAATCTTGTCTCCTGGTCCTCCAAGCGCCAGAACACGGTGTCAAGATCCAGTGCTGAAGCCGAGTATCGCGCGATGGCCAATGGAGTTGCTGAGGCCACCCGGTCACAAGGCTTCTTCTAGACCTGCATGCCCCTCTCTACGTAGCCACATTGGTGTATTGCGACAACATCAGTGCCGTCTACATGACCTCCAACCCGATACAGCATCAGCGAACCAAGCACATTGAGATTGATCTTCACTTCGTCTGGGAGCGAGTCGCCATTGGTGATCTTCGTGTTCTGCATGTTCCCACTTCTTCACAATATGCGGATATCTTCACCAAAGGGTCAGCCTTCTTCAAAGGTTCACGGAGTTGAGTCCATCTAAACGTGCAGTGGTGACGATTTATTGATCATGGGGCGTGTTAGAATAGGCGCCTATGGGCTGGTTATGGGCTTCGGCGCCCAAGCCTATCACCGGGCCTCCTAGGGATTATGGTAGATGATTATTGATTAGGCAAGGATCACTTGTTGATTGGGTGTTTCTATAAACCCTTCCTGATCCTTGCCTATATAATGTACTCCCTATACCCATATCAATCTATCACAATTTCCCGAGACCTATTCACTCTCATCCTGGAGTATCATTATAGGTTTAATCTAAACAATCAAAGTTAAGGACAAACCAGTGCTTCCTCCATAGTTGACATCCACATATGCCCAACCTCTACTTGTCCAATAATGAACACTGAGGTCCAGAATTGCACGTGTTTCAGCAGTAGGTCCTCCTGAAAATTTAGAGCGTTAAAGCATTCAATGATTTTCATCCGAAAAGAAAAAAAACCAAGCAAAAACCATTTATTTTAGTTAAATATAAGAAAACACTTAATCTGAAATACATTGTACATGTATTTTTTTCTCGAAAAAACGCAGGAGAGCTGCGCATCATTATATTAAGAAGTAAAAAGGGAAAGAACCCAAACAGCGCATCATTATACATGTATAACTCTTCTTCTTCCTTTTTCTTTTTTTTTTTTTGGGGGTGGGGGTGGGGGTCAAACTGAATAATTATTCCAAGGCATAAAAAGGTTTGAATAACTCACTTACCATGTGTTTTGACAAGCAACGGAGGTTTTTCATCAGCCAAACCTTGAAAATTGGGATTTGACGGTGGGTAGAAATAGGCATAAGCTTTCTGGCCAGGTTTGGATGTAGGGAACTCAACAAGTTCTGGTGTGCTGAAGAAAGGTCTATATTGTACGAGGTCCGGTGAGGAGGATCAGACTATTGAGAAATTGACTACTTTTGTTTTGCTCTCATTTAATGTCACCTGGATGAATCAATTGAAACGATACACAATTATTGCACATCATCAACATATAAACAAAATTGTGAATCTGATATCTGATAAACCTTAGCAATCGACTGTGGAATACTTGCAGAAGCACCTTCAATATAGAAGTAATCATCTGAAGCAACCTGCCAGATCAAGCAAGTAACAAGCTAATATAAGTCATGAAACAAACATATACACCTCAAGTTTTCAAAGTGGCAATGAAGATTTTGTCACGTACCACATCAGATAAATCAGAGAAAGGGATGTCAAGCAATGAAACAGAACCTGAATCACAATCAAGCACACCAAGATGTGACCTTCCTTTCTGCCTGCAAGGCATAGTTATTGTGATGGTACATGAAGATGTTTCACAAACAAAAGCAACATAGAATTTTTTCTTCAATATTATTGATACCTATAACTGAAAACAATGTGGTCGCTGTTTCCAAGAAAATCATACGAGCTGATGCCAAAAACCCACAATGGTGTTGTAAATTCAGCGTCTAGTGAATACACTGGTACAATCTCATTGGTTTGTTCAACCTGATGACAAAGTAGCATACTGAGATTACATGACAAATATAGTTCAGATGATGAATTAGAAAAAAGGAATATAGTAACAAGTTTAGCTCATTCATGAGTCACATGGGTTATGAACTCTGACTTTATTACTAATCTCAGTTAAGTGTGGCCAAAATACAGTTACAACACTGTCAGAAAAGCTCAAGAGTTGAGAGAAAACTGTTTACCCATTTATAAATGTTCCAAAATCCACTCCCTCTGTCAGTAACAAAAAACAGTTCTCCTGCAAGTTGAATGCTTTAGATGAACTATAGTATAAGGTTAGTAGCCACAATACTGTGCAAGAAAAATATCGTTATTGCCTACCGATGTTCTATATGATATAATTAGTCCATTCACTAAGCAGTGTGAATTGCAGACAACAAAAGGGCAAAGACCACTCAAATAGCAATGCATCATCCAACTGATTAATGATAAAGCCCCTTCCATTTCTTCTAAGAATAATTAAGTTATGTACACCCTCCATTCCAAATTGTAAGTCGTTCTAGCTTTTCTAGATACATAACTTTTACTATGTATCTAGACATAATGGATATCTAGGCACGTAGCAAAAGCTATGTGTACCTAGAAAAACCAGAACCACTTATAATTTGGATGGAGGGAGTATTCATTTATATCATGGACATGGACCACACTAATACATTTTATTTGGAACAAAGGAAGCTCAAGGAAATGTTGAATGTCCCAATGATGCAAGACTAACAGAAACAAGCAACACAAAACTTCAATAGAACATAATGAGATCCCATTTTTAATACGCAGTGTGAACAAAGAATACGGGTATGTTAAAGCTTGAAACTATAAAATTTTGAAGTACTTTCCAATGAAAAAAGATACTTAGCTGATGTTATTATCACTGAACCATACCGATAATTAGCATTTTTAAAATAATCAAGTGTACATACAAATACAGCAGAAAAAAGGATACCTTTGGGAGACCATTTAGGTTCACTAGGAGATTCAATCAGCAGTGGATTGCCACCGGCAATACAGACCCGTTTGGCCAAGTCTCTGTAGACACAAAAATACATGGGGCTAAATCAGCAAAAGTTGGAAAGGGGAATTCAGCTATATGGACATGTTTAGTGATGTACAAAAGTATCACAGTACCATGCTGTAAGCTCAAAATAACAGCACTACATAATCTCTATGGTACTAGGCTACTAGCAATTCAGTGTTTGCCTATGCAACCTTCAAGTCTTGAGTTTGTCAATTGATTACAAAATAATCATACAAGTCCAAGTCAAACTGACAGGGAAAATAGGAGGAAGTACCTGGTTTTCTACAGCTACTATGTGTTGTATTAACAACAATGTGATTTATTGTCTTTTAGATATTTAATACATGAAATGGCCCTTTAGGGGTATTAGAAGCTGTTATCAAAATCCGCGGCAGGGGCGGCCGGCCGGTGGACACGAGCAGAGTAGCAGCCCAGCGGAGGTCGAGGTCCGTCCGCCGCCTTCTCTCACTCGCGGTGAATGACTCGCGCGGTCGATTTCCCACGCGAAGAGGCCACCTGGGCGCACGCGCGGTCGATTTCCCGTGCCTCTTACTTTTCCCGCGGGCACGCGGTCGATTTCCCGCGGGGCCGCGCTCCTTTTGGCGCCCTTCCCCTACGACCGGCATCTGGCGTCCGGGGCACGGTTGTAGGCGTCCGCCCGACGCCATTCGCGCCTAGGCGACGCCTAATCCTATGAGGCGGACGCCATACACGCTTTGGTCGTGGCGACCCCGACGCCCAGGCCCTCGACCACGCCTTGTCGCCTAGGCGACGACTAGGCGACGCCTCAAAAACATTGAATAAGACCATAGCAGCCTACTTAGTACTTACTCCCTAATGTTTGCTTGTATAGACGTTGATCCTTGTAATTTGAGAACACAACAACACTCTTGTTAACTGCAAATGCACCACCTCCATATTCTTGAGCCAGGGTGCGTGCTGCAAATTCCTGAGGTATGACATCCACAGGATTATCCTCCTCCTTTACAATAACCATACGCCTGAATACAATTTAATTCAATAAGATCAGGGGCAGATCTATAAAAATATGTTAGGAGGGCTCGTTCCATTATCTTCTACCTCTAGCCCCTCCTTCCAAGCTTCTATGGCTACAAATTTGAGAACTAATCCCTCTGTGTCAAAATAGTTAACACTTCAGCTATGAATCTGAACAAAAGTTTGTCCAGATTCATAAGTGTCAACTATTTTTGGGACAGGGAGTACAGAGGAGTTGAATGTACTGCACTACTAAGCAGATGCAATCGATATGGGCACCAATGGAAGCAACAAACATTCAATGATTGCCAGGTAGTAATATTCTGACAATATGTTCCATTATACAGCAACATTCTTGCGGCATCATGTTGATTAGCATGCAAGTGCTCAGACATGCAGAGTGCAGAAATAAAATGTAATATAATCCTGATTCTCAACTTACTTCTCTGATCACAAATATAAGTCCATCCAGGTTTGCCCTAAATCAAACTTTTTTTAAAACTTTTACAGATACCTTTATAGATATGGCTAGTCAAAGTTTAAAAAGTATGACTCAGGACAAACCTAGTTGGACTTATGTCTGTGATCAGCAGAAGTATATCTGTACATGTTAAGTTCCTCAAAATGGCTTCATTTTGTGGTATTTTTCACTTAGGAACTGTAAATCTGTCAAGTCTTTTTACTATTGTCCTCTGGTATGTCCTGTTTTAGCCTGTTCATACAAACAAAACCACATCACTTGATCTATTTCTTGCCCCTCAATTCTTTACTCAAGTGCTGCTATTGCTCCAATTGAACAGAGAAAATAAATCCAACAATACTTCCTTTCACAATGTCGACGTCTTCTTTTTATTCATTCACAATGTCTTCTTGCTTGTATAATATCCATGCACAAATAACTACAGTACATCCACTTACCAGTTACCACCCACAGGATATATAACTAACCCCATGTAGTTAGATGCCCCCTAAAATCTACAATATAAATTAATGAAACATAAACTGACTAATAATACTCTGTGATTAACTCACTAAGCAGAACACCAAAAAACTTGATAATGGACTTACACAATTATAGATCATGTCTAATCCAACATACAGCTGTTCAAGGCCGCAAGGCACAAATGCGAAACTCTTTCATGTTTCATGGGGTTTAATCAGTATATACAACAACAACAATGCGTTCTATTCCCATGCAAGGGCTGGGCGCCTGGGCCACTTAAGCAGGTTGGGCAAGGTCACTTGAGCAAGTTGGGTTCAATCAAAATATGTTACTAAAACCTAGCAAGTAGTAGTAGCAACACTAAAACTTTCAGAAACATTATCGCGTGCGCGTCCAATGTCAACGCCTTGGCCACTAAACCTCGGAAGCGGATTTCATTTACCCTTTCTCCTCGGGGCGGCCCTCGATCCAGAGAAGGCGCCCATCCCCAGCGAGGGCGATACCGCCGAGGCGCCTATCCGCGCCGGAGACGACGTCCGCAGTGATGGGCGACCTCCACGACCCGTACGGCGCCACCGCAGGCTTATCGCCGCCGGCCGCCGCCGCGGCGGGCGGCGTGGAGGAGGCCGCTGAAGAGGACATGCGGGACTGCGAGGGATGCGCTCGCCGGTTGCTGAAGCTGGGGAGAGAGAGGTGGAGAAGGTGGGCCGGGGCGGAGGTGGGGCTGCGCACGGGCGAGAAGACGGAGGCGAGGCGTGTCGCCATTTGCAGGATGCGGGGTTCTGTTTTATATGTGTGTCTGTATGGGTCAGATTTTTTTTTTTAATTTTAACATTTTTTTTTAAATTAATTTTAAATCTAACATTGTTTTTTTTTTCAAAACTAATACTTTTGGCCGCACCTATTGCTATGGCGCGGCGAAACGCCTGTGCCGCGTCATGCATGGTGACGCGGCACGATGATGACGTGGCGACGACCGGGACTGTTGACCGGTGACGTGGCAGGGTCTATCGCGCCACCATGCATGTCGGCTGCTGTCGGTGAGGATCGACAGCGACGCGACCATGGACTCGGGCTTCGCCTCGCAGCTGAACGGCACCTGCAGCTCCGACCCCAACGCCTTCACCTTCCTCGACCCCTCGCTGGTGGGCTCAACCAGGTGCTCTAGTCCGACATGAGGTCGCGCAGCACGGTCGACTACTGCGCGTCCAACCATGATGCCTTCTTCGGCGATTTCGTGGCGGCGATGACCAAGCTTGGGAGGATCAGGATCAAGACCCGGCCACTGGCGGCGAGATACGCCAGGACTGCCGGTTCCCGAACTAGTTGCTAGTTAATTTCGCCGGCAGTGCTGCTGCAACGCATTGAAACGAATATGAAGCAAATAAATGAAGTCCGTGCGCAAGTTGACAAGCTGCCACATAACATTTTCATTGGTTCGATATAAGTTCGACATAACATAACCAACTAAGCCTGCAAGTTTCGGACGACAATATTCGTTCGACCTAACAAACTAAGACCCAGGAGTATAAGGATCCCTCGGACGCATCTGTCTCTTCGGATTTGTTGGCAACACATTGTGAGTGTAGCCAACGTTGATGTGGTCGCGTTGCCGGTGCGTACGGCTCATACCCTGCAAGTATATGATATGCACGATTACTTATAATCTTTATGATCATTAGTTCATGGAGCCTACGTATTTAAAGAAACTACCTTTGTTAGTACCTGTGAGGCTTCTTGGGTACCAAGCGGGGCACCACCTAGCTGAGACATGTCGATCTCGTCCTGCGGCCAATCGTCCCACTGGTGGTACTATCTACGGAAGCCTGGGGGGTCGTCGTCGTCGTCGTCCTCGGTTGCAGGGTCCTTCCAGCGCTATGATGTGGTGGTGTACGCACTGCGAAAGTGACACCTGTCACCGGCTGAGAAGAGCTGGCTGGTGTCCTCAAAGAGCCAGAAGACGTGCCACCTGACCGCGCCGGGACTGCCGGTTCCACCCAAGGAGTGTCCATGCAGCTCAGCTTCTGAGCTAGCTTCCTGCAGCTCCGCTTCACCTTCTGCATAAATAGACGTTAAAGCTAGTGCATTTCCTAAACACATATACACTAAAGAAATATTTTCGGAACGGACAAGTTTATGTTTACCTCCACAAAAGCCTCGAGAACGTCTGGCCCCTGCCCTCTAGACTCGTGAAGCTGAAACACTGCTTCGTTGGACATCCTTGACAATTATGTCGTCTGGGTACAGAAACGCGGTTGGACAGTTTTAGTACACATACTTAATACCAAATGATAACAAAATATACCATTCGAGTATCTTACCACGTATCTTTGAACCGGTGCTCTCTGTAGTTGTGTGTCGGCTCTAGTGGCAACGTCGTACACATCTTCGATCACATCTTCCTCTAAGTCCTCGTCAATCGCCTCCTCAGTGTACAGGGGCTTGATATGTGTCCTCGTAGACATGTGAAGCCACCGCAGGTACTCGTCGAAGGTGTGCTGGTCATGTGGGGGACCCGCATGGACCGGCTGCCGGTCCCTGTTCTGCCACAACTGGATGTACGCGTTGTGTGTCACGCGCCAATCCTTGGTCTTGTACCTCTTCCTGCGGTCATACTTGCAACAAAATGATTGTTAGTTGTACCACACACACCTCTGAATTGTAGCTTTGTTATTAATCGATAACGCACTCGTGGAATTCTTGGTTGGTGGAGTAAAGCGGTGGTGGATAGCCTGTCATTCTTCCAAACTGCCTACAAACACTGATGGGCAAGTGAATCTCGACCACGTGGAAGAAAATAAGAGGGACGTTGCAGCGATACTCGTCTGACTCATCCCTAGTGACAGGACTCAGATAGTACTCGAGCTCCGTAGCATCCCAAGTACACTAATGCACCTGAACATTTCGTAATTGAGTTAGATTGTGATATAGTGTACATCGAACAAGACACATATATGATAGTAAAGAGAGCGTAACCTGGTGCTGTGTCAGGACATTGAGACCGTCCTAGGGATGGGGAAGGCGTCCTTAACGATGATGGCGTTCAGGGCACGGTAGTCGACGCAGAACTGCCATGATCCGTCAGCTTTCTTGACGAGGAGGACAGGCGAGGAGAACGCTGAAGAGCTCCAATGAATGAGCCCGTGGTCCAGCATGACGGCGCACTGGCGTTCTAGCTTGTCCTTGTGTGTCGCCGGATAGCGGTAGGGGCGCACCGCGACCGGCTACGAGCCCGGGACAAGAGTGATGCTGTGGTCCCGGGATCGGAGCGACGGTAGGCCGCGAGGCTTGGCGAAGACGTCATCGAAGGACGCGAGCAGCTCGTCCAGCAGGGTCGGTGTGGTCGTGGTGGTGCGGACGGCGGGCGCCTCGGCCCCGGGGACCCCCTGCCAGTAGACGGACTGGCCCTACCGCTGGAACGTCATGGACTAGACGCCGAAATCCCACAAGACAGGCCCGAGCATCGCCAACCACTGGGTGCCCAACACCATGTTGTAACCTGCAAGTGGCATGACAAAAAAAATCGACGTGGAAGAGATCGCCGTGGATGGTGACCGTAGCCTGGCGGATGACGCCCACGCAAGACACCCGTTCGCCGTTTGGCACAGTAGCCGTGAGGCGAGGGCGATGTTGGAGAGGTAGGCCGGTGTGCTGCGCCGCGGACTCGGAGATGAAGTTGTGAGTAGACCCGGAGTCCAGAAGCGCGATGAGGGAGGTGCCGCCAATGACAACGTCGAGCTGCATGGTGTCGGTGAAGCGAACGCCCGCAATGGCATGAAGGGAGAAGAGGGGTGACTCTACCTCCGCGGTTGCCGGTTCCGCGGCGTCGGGCGGCTCCTCCCCGTCCTCCACGGTGCCGTCCAGTAAGAACAGGCACTTGCAAACACGGTTGTGACCGCGAATGAATTTCTCGTCGCAGTTGTAGCAGAGGCCCAGCCGGCGGCGTTCTTCCTGCTCGGCCGTGGACAGGCGCTTGATTGGCCGGCCCTCCATGGTGACGGTGTTCGGCCCAGGAGGATTGGCCCCCGGTGGTGCAGGCAACGCCAGGCGCTGCGGAGGAGCGGCCAGCAGCCCCCTTGTTGCAGCTCGCGGAGCCGGCGCTGCGTACTGCTCCCGTAACTCTAGTTTGCGGGCGAGACTCATGGCGTCGGCGAGAGTCTACGGATTGTGGACCTCGACGTCGAGGCTGAGCGGCGGCTAAAGTCCCCCAGTGAAGAGCTGGGCGCGCTGTGCCTCATCGAGGCGGCTGACACGGGGGAGGAGCGCTTGAAAACGGTCCTGGTAGTCCGCGACAGTGCTGGTGCGCTTGCACGAGGCCAATTCGTGGAGGGGATTAGAGCGTAGCGGCGGTCCGTAGCAGAGATGGAGAAGGTCCTTGAAGCGGCGCCATGATGGAATGCCTTCGTCTGCCTGGACCTGAATGTACCACATCTGGGCGCCCTCTTCCAAGTTGTAGGAAGCCATCCACACTTTCTCTTCCTCCATGATCCGCTGCTGGTGGAAGTAGGATTCGCACCGGTTGATGAAGATCAGCGGGTCAGACTTGCCATCATAGCGCGGGAAGTCGAGCTTTTGGAAACGCGGCGGCCGATCTTGGTGGTGCTCCCCCGACCCGGAGTGTGCAGAGGATGACGATCCGCTCGGCGGCGGGCGCGCGTCGTCTAGGCGCTGGATGGCCTGGGCGTTGGCCTCCACGGACGTCTGGAGGGTCCTGATGGATGCGACCAGGGAGTCCAAGGTCGCCTGCAAGGCAGCGTTGATGGCGGTGTTGCCGGTGTTGTCGCCCATGGCGTCGATGCTAGGCGACGGCACGGCGGCTGAGGGTGGTGCGGCGACTGGGGGTGGTGAAGGGGCACGGGATGAACTGGATCGCCTAGACCGTGATACCAGGTTGTCAAGGGCGTCGGGCTCTAGGGTAGCCGGCCCTCGACTACGGAGTTCGTAGTCTCGTTCCGTCTTCTTGGGCGAGGTTTTCCCCCTCAGCAGTCCTAGGCTTGTTGGAGAAGAGATGGAAGATTAGATGATAATATATTGCTTGCTTTATAAAAGTTCTCCGTACAATAATATATAGCCCTTGACTTTCTAATAAAAGGAAACAAACTCTTCTAATAAAAGGAAACAAACTTTCCTAAATAAAAGGAAACAACTCAAACTGGAGTCCCTGCTGCCTCCGCGCGCTCCGCGTCAGGGCGCACGTCGCGAGCGCGCCTCCTCCTCTCGTACGGACGGCCCCACATGACACTTTATTAGTAATCATGGCTTAAGGCCAAGAAGATTCAGAGAAGTAGAATCAAACTTTTCAAAATCAAGTTAGGTTAGAGTTCAAGAAAGAAAAACATAATTAAGACAGTTCCTGTTTTCCAAATGTTCACTTGAAAAAGCACGGAGATTCAACCATTCTTTGTATAAGGATCTAAACGTGGTTCATATCAAGATAACAAGTTAACAACAGAAGAAAGTTTAAATGTGGCATAAAGGAGCACTTTTTGTGTAATCACCTGGACTGAATGAGTTTAGTTAGTGCGTCAAAAAGTTCAGATGCTAGATAGGAGTAATGCCAGGTTGTACAACGACCATGTACAACAACCATGCCCCATCCTTTGCCTATCTGACGTCTCAGTTGTAAATCCCAATTTCAACATTCCCGCAACATGTGAATCATGGGCATAAGCATCAAGCGCCGTCACATAATGTCAGACAGATACCGGTAGCATGTTGGGTTTGATTTTTGAAGCTTGGAGCGACAAGTATTTGCCAAATTAATTAAACAGGAACGAGGCAGTAATGCTTTATGCAGCATTTATGCCCGTGTGGTACCAACTGTTAAGCGTAGGTTCAGGTCAGCTCCTCACCTCCTATTGTTTGCTTGTACAGACGCTGGTCAGTGTAGTTAGAGAACACAACGGTATCCCCTTGCACGGCGAACGCCCCACCACCGTACTCCTGCGCCAGGGACCGCACCGCGAACCCCTGCGGCGTCACATCAAGAACCTTGCCGCCTGGTTCTGCCGCTTCCTTCACGAGGACCGCGCGCCTGACGACGAGAAATCACAGCTACAGATAAAAACATCGTACGCACCGCTGGGTTCTAACAAAATTTGTGAGTGGCAGCAGTGGAAACGGGGGCCGGATGGTTGGGCGTACCCTCCATCCTCGGGGCGCGTCTCCACCCAGACGAGCCGGCCGTCGCCGGCGATGGCGAACCCCTCGGCGGTCCTCCCGGCGGCGGAGACGACGGCGGCGCTGATCGGCGACTCCCAGGACCCGTACGGCGCGGTCGACTTCCCGGTGGCGCCCGAGGCGGCGCGGGGGTGCATCGCCGCCGTCAGGTCGCGATCGAGCGGGCGGCGGGTGGGGGGAGTGGATGAGAGAGAGGCTCGGGGACGCCGGACGGGGACTGGGACTCGGACTGGGAGTGCTTGCTGCTCGGCGGAGCGATGCAAGTCAGTGTGTTGACTGGTCAAAGTCAAATGCTCTTTTATAGTGCCTCAGAATGATTTTTTATTTAAAATAACTAATATTTTAATAGCAAGTGTCCAATTATTTTTTTAAAAAAATAGCCTCCCGCAGAAATAAACCCTAGAGTGGCAAATGAAAATTATCACACAGTCTCAGTGAAAGTTTTATGGCTCAGTTTCTAAGACTTTGCTAAATATTGAGAACTCTTGATAGAGTATTAGAATGAAAAAACCATTAATCATATAAAGAAGAATCGAGGGTTCTAGCCCATTTCCATTCATAAATCACTAATTCGTAGTGCTTTTGCCTTTCTTGCGTAACTCCTGATGAACCAGTTGCTAGCCATATGTTTAGGAGGCTTTTTTTCTCTAGGTACTGGTACTTGACGTGAAAACACAGGGACAAAGGCATGATCTTTCAATAGGAAAAAGAATGGATCCGAAGGTCCCAAATCAATTGGCTTATTTGAAAAAAGCCTTCTTTGAAAGATATATCTCGTGTCTGGTATTGCATTGTTCCACTCTGCAAGAAGTCTGAATCAATCTCTTGCACCTCCCCTTTTTATGATAAATATACCAATCAGTCCCAGTGAAAGTTTTATGGCTCTGTTTCTACGACTCTTGGAAACAATGTAAATAAGTTTCATCCCCATAAAACTATTTTTTTCTCTCTTTTCATTTAAAATATGTCACATCAGCTTATTTAATGAGTATGAAACTCATGTTGAGACTTTCCAAATAGACACAATAGTGTTTGTTTCTATGAACAATTTCCACGTGTGAAGTTGTGCCACGCTATTTTATTTGACGCAACCTATAGGCAAATCATATCGTTTTGCTTGGCATGCGTGACTGATAGATGAATCAGACTATTTTGTTGTCGTTTTATTTAGTGTGATTGATTTATGAGGCATGCCAATTGGTTGGCATGACTGAGAAGTGTCTAAGACAATTTTTTTCTTGTTGATCCAAAACAAAAGACTTATGATCTTCAAAGATCTTGTAATTTTTAAGTAGTTGTAAAAAAAAGCATATTTAGCTTGAGTTGGCACCATAGTTTTTGTAGTTTAAATTTTTGTTTTTTCCTACAAGGTTTCGATTAAGCTACCACCCCGTTCGCGTACCCTTAAACCTGACTTGATCTGCTTCTTTTTTCATCCGGAACAGTGTTTTTCTCTTATAAATTCCTCCAGATTCATCCAAAATCATTCAGATTCCTCCAAATTTCTCCAAGCGAACAGGGCGTATCCGTCCTGATTTAAATTAAGCCAACGGTGGATCATTTGTGTGTTGACGTGATCTTTGGAAGTCCAACCTTGCTTCCAGCTTTTAGAGCTCCCATGTAAGCCCATCGTTTGAATACAAGATTTTCCAAATGGTAGTAACATAAAACAAATGGGATTGGACTTGTGTAGCTTTTTAAATCCTCAAGAATGGTACCGATGCGGCAGTTAAGTGTGGGTACTGGCTAGTGACTAGTGAACGCGCGGTAGAACCGCGGAGTCAACGAAAATCAAGTAGAGGAAACCTTGGCTAAGCATGCATATAATGCCTATGTTGCAATAGCTATATATACATGTTGTAGGTATATGTTTTAAATGTTTCAGATGTTTTAGACGTATGTTACAAATGTTTGATATTGATGTTTCAAATGTAGATCTTGGTATTGCCCATGTTGTAATGGCTATACATGTATATTTCAGGTGCATGTTTTAAGTGTTTCATCTTTTTCAGACTATGTTGTAAATGTTTTATTTGGGTATTTCAAAAGTAAATCTGGTGTTGCACATGTTGCTATGGCTATACACGCATGTTTCAAGTTATCGGTGCAGAAAGTGACCAACACGTATATATTTGTAGTTTTGTCGTACGTTGTGATCGGATATGGCCTAGCACTAAATGACACATGATTTATACTGGTTCAGGCAACGTGTCCTACATCCAGTTTGAGTCGGTCGGTAACTTTATTCCTGAGCCTAGGTGCTCCAAGTTTGCAGTAGGGTTACAAACGAGAAGGAGAAAGATGGGGGTACAAGAGGTCCAGTCGAACTCTGGCCAGATGGACCGAGAATGATGGGAGCTCCGCTATGTGCTAAGTGTTCGAGCGTGTGCTTGTGGTTTGAACCTGGTGGTTCTGTTGTTGTGTATTGGTGAACTGATCGATCTAAATCAACTGAGTCTTTTGGAAGAGAGCGTATCCCCTTTTATAGATGAAGGGGATGGCCTTACAAGTGAGAGGGAGAGAGTACATATACTACTAAGTCTTGTTGCCCACGCCGGCGGGTGGAAGATGATGGTAGGCGCCCACAATACTATTTAGTGTCAGATGCACGTGGGAGGTTGCGTCTTCTTCTTCAGGTATGACAGACGTCGGTGCCTGCCACACTATTGATACCAAGAGGCATGCAAAGGATTTTTCCATGTTCGCCTGGTACGATAAATACCGGCGTCCACAACACTGTCGATGCCGCAAAGGCACATGGGGGGAGCCTTACTGTATTTGGCTGGTATGGGAGTTGATGGCGCCCACAACACAGTAGGGGAAAACGTCGGCGCCTACAACACTGCTTAGGTTCTGTCGTGCCAGGAGGGTCGTAGGGTATCGCCTAGCAAGTGCACAGGGTATGGTCCCTGGTATTGCGGTTTGACTTTATGCGCCTTGCCTTACTTTCTTCGTCCGTTTCCTGGTCCTTACCGAGCGGGCGTCCCCGGTCGGTTGGTCTCAGTCGGCTCTGATTGCGCCAGTCGGAGAGGAGCTGTAAGTAGGGGTTCGGCGTTTCCTCGGTCGGAGAAGCGGGTCGGAGTCGGAAGTGGTGTTCTGGCCAGGCCTTCCGGTCGGAGAGGCCATCCGGAAGCGGGCTGGAGACTGAAGCGAGTGCTCCGGTCGGAGAGGCGGACCGGAGTCGAAAGCGGACGCCGTTCCTCCTCGGCCAGACCTTCCAGTCGGAGATTGGATCGTCCTTCTGGCCTGTCGTTTAGGTACTTGGGCCAGCCCAAGAGTCGCGCGCTGGTTCGCAGCGTTGTCTGCTGGGCCGAGCCTTTGCTTGGGAAGCCGGTCCATGAGGGATCCCAGGTTTATAAACCCGACAGGAGCCCCCGAGTCCCCGGGCGATTCGGGTAGAATTGTCTAGGGGATTTTGGTCTTGACGGCGAGTGCACGCGAGCGCACCCGCGGGTGTAGTCCTCGAGCCCCCGGGTGATTTGGGCAGAATCGTCTGGGAGTTTTTCATGTTTGCCAGCGGGGAAGGTTTTATTTAAATCATTGGTGCGCGAGAAGCACTCTGCTGGTGTAGTTTCGAGCCCCGGGCGATTCGGGCGAGATCGCTTGGGGGGTTTGTCGTGGCGTGTGTGCGTGTCTTTTAGTCGAGACAGAGTTGTCCTGGCATCGGTGCAGCCCGCGCAGTTGAGGCAGTTAGTTTAGGGATCGGGCGAGACGGAGCTCGTGGATCCTGGCGTCGGTGCAGCCCGCACAGCCGAGGCAGTTGGTTTAGGGATCGGGCGAGATGGAGCTCGCGAATCCTGGCGTTGGTGCAGCCCACGTAGCCGAGGTAGTTAGTTTAAGGATCGGGCGAGGCGGAGCTCGTGGATCTTGGCGTCGGTGCAGCCCGCGCAACCGAGGCAGTTAGTTTAGGGATCGAGCGAGGCGGAGCTCACGGATCCTGGCGTCGGTGCAACCTGCGCAGCCGAGGCTGTTAGTTTAGGGATCGGGTGAGATGGAGCTCGCGGATCCTAGCATCGGTGCAGCCCACGCAGCCGAGGCAGTTAGTTTAGGGATCGGGCGAGACAGAGCTCGAGATCCTAGCGTCGGTGCAGCCCGCACAGCCGAGACAGTTAGTTTAGGGATCGGGTGATACGGAGCTCACGGATCCTGGTGTCGGTGCAGCCCCAGCCCAAGGCAAAAGGCGATTAGTTTAGGGATCGGGCGAGACAGAGCTCAGGATCTCGGCGTGGCGTCGATGCTGCCCGCTGGCGAGGCGATTAGTTTAAGAATCGGGCGAGACGGAGCTCGCGGATCCTGACGTCGGTGTAGCCCGCGCAGCCGAGGCAGTTAGTTTTAGGTGTCTTGAGCCGCTAAGCCCTGTTGGGCTTGGTAGGGGTTGGTTTGAGTTTTGTGCGTTACCTCATCCTCGGTTTCTCACAACCGGAGGGGCTGAGCTAACGTCGCTTGCCCGATGGCTCGGGGTCGAGTGACGTGCTCGGTAAGCTCGCTAACAGGTATGATCGAGTGGAATCTGGGTCCGTCGTTCATGATGGGGTCGGCATAGCCCTCTTGTGACATTCCACTGCTCCTTAACCTACAACCTGACAGATGCCTGAGTCGTTCTGGAGGCCGACCTGGGTGGCCAGCTGGCCTCCCCTTAATGGAGATTCTGTGGGTTTGGCAGAGGTTTAGGATCGAACGAGAAGGTTGAGATGACTCTATCCGCTTCAGGGCAGACTGGGCGAGGGCCGCACGAGGCTCATCTGTGTTTTCTCCCTTGGCTCTGTTTGATGCGAGGTGGCCTCGAGCCCTTCATGGGCTAGCCTTCGAACCTCGGTCGATCGTTGCTCATGTTTGAATGAGGCAACTGCCGCTTCGTGACACAACACGGAGCGTTGTGATGCATTTAGCCACATGTGCGATGCCTTAGTTCCCGTGCCCTTGGGTGATTCAGGTAGAATTGTCCGGGGGGCGCGGGCGTATGGAATGAATGCGTGTATGGATGTATGAATGATTATATAAAAAAATAGTGGGGGTTGGTAATATTACCTTGATGACTCGAGTGACGGGGTCTGAAGAGCTCCAATCGTTAATGTACGACCGGGATCCATGCTTGTCGTTCGTGACGGAGTCGGCATGGCCCACATTGGGCATCCCT